GGTGATTGCCCAAAATGGGACAGTCCTCAGCCAGCTCCAGGCTGCACGTGCAGACTTCCCTATGAAGCCTGGGGCTGGCCAGGAACAGTCCCAGTCAGGGGCAAGTCCCAGCCCTGTGCCCTGATCAGGTGCCATGATCTGCTGGTGGAGCAGCTAGCAGCGAGCCCCCAGCTGGGTGGGGAATCCAGCTGAGGCAGTGACAACATGTAGGGGGTGCACAGGGGTGCACGTGCACCCTCTGAGAGCGCTGGTGCACCTCCTGACAGGCAGCACTCCCCACTTAGGTGATGGGCAGGGGGGTAGGTGGGAGCATGGGTGCCCCCCCATGAGCACAGGTGGGAGAGTGGGGGCACCAGGAGTAGTGCTGCTGCCACTTCCAGGGGTGCTGCTTGCACTTCCGTGTGGGTGCGATCAGCTGCAAGGGACTTCTTTCCCCACCCCGGTCAGCAAGATTGGCCATGGGGGGACCCCCCCCCAGTCATTGACTGGCCGCTGGGGAGTGAGGGGCACATGACCCACCTGACTCAGGAGGCACCAGTCGTCCATGAGCTGGGGGCTCACTGCTAGCTGCCCCATTGGCGGACTGAGGCAAGGGGCTGGGACTTGCCCCTCCCCTGCATCTTTTTCCAAGCTCCCTGCCCCCAGTCAGAGAGCCAGGGCCAGGTGCGCCGTGCTGCTGGGGCAGAGGGACATAGTCCCCACTCAAGCTTCAACAGCAGAGCCCGCCCCAGCAGCAGGCAGCTCCTGGGGGCAGGGAGCAATCTCCCAGTCTCCACCAGGAGACTGCTGTCTCCTAGGCCCATGCTCCCTGCTACCCTGGAGGGCAGCTGGTGCAGGGCCAGAGGGGGCAAGAGCAGACTGCTGCCAGGAACAGCAAATCTGCTCCCAAATGAATGCACGTGTAGATGCCTGCCCAGGGTATGTTTACTCCAGAGTAAGTTACTCTGAAGTAAACCCATCCAGCAGCAATTGCATCTGTAGACATACCCAATGAGAGCATTTTTCCTCCCAGAAAGATCTTAACCTTCCCACTGCTGCTTTATTTGACAGAATCCTACCTATATGCTTTCTGGGCTAGATCCACTAGAGGACCTTTCTATTCCTAAATGCAGCATTTAGATCGCTCAATTCCTGCCCAGCCTCAGCCTGCAGGTGCCTTCATTTCTCCTTCTAAGTGTGTTTACAAGCACCCAAGTGGTGAAAGGGCTGAGCACTGTCAAGATTCCCAAGCTAAGTCTTCATCTGTCTTTCTTGTCTCCAGGCCCCAGTTTGGTAGAGCAAATTTAGGCTTGTCCCTGCCTGGCTAAACCCTCGCCCCCACTACAAGGAATTAAGCAATGTATTATATACATTAGATTTTTAAATGGAGCGCCGCTTAATTCACTGAAGTTATGCTTTGAGTCCCTTGAGGGGCGTCTTGAAGGTTGAGAGCCTTCCTGCCTGGAATAGTCTGGGGTGGGGATTTCTTAATCTCTGCTAATGAAACTGTTTCCCTTTTCAAAAACACTTAAGTATTCACTGGACCAGAGCTTGAAAACAAGGCCTAGCCTCTTTGAGTTGAGTGCTCTAATAATTAAACTGGGAGGTAACTTTCTGCTTCTCTTCCCTCTCGCTGTCTGTGGGTCTTGTATGATTTTTGCCACAATCATGTAGCCATGTGAACACAGAGCAGGAGCAGGGTGTACAGCCATTTGCCAGTGCCAGGAGCTACATGGAGGATCTGTAAATTGGGGCTGGAGGGGAGGTACAATGTGGGGCGGGACAGGGAGGACTATTGCATCTGTGGAGGGGGTTGTCCATCTGGGGGTAGAGGGATCAGGAGGTTAAAAATAACCTGGTCAAGGTGAGAGTGGGTCAGAAGAACACAGCCAGGGCTAGGGTGAGTGGCTAGGCTTTCCCTGGGTCCTGGAGCTGTGATCAAATGTGTACAGACATTCAACAGATTGGGTTAATTCTTTCACAGTCTAAGTTAGTTCAGCACCTCAGTCATCGGTAATCGCATTTTCCATTCCTCTTAAAGTGGATCACCTGCTTGTCGTAATCCTGTAGGACTAGGTTCCAGCTCACCAACTTGGCATTGATATCTTTCAGCAACAAACACTTCACAAGGATTTTTTTTTTTCGCACCTAAGCCCAGAGCTCCCGCCTTCCCATGTAAGCCATCTGTCCTATCAACTACGGGTGATGCCCATGCTCGGTGAATCAAGTCTAACCTCATAACGCATAAGAGTGTATGAAAATACACTCTTTTATTTTGATTTGTTCTGAAAAAAAATTCATTAAAAATCATCAAAATATATTTTTTTCTAGATTTTTTTTTCAGTTTCAATGAAATCATATTTTTTGGCAAAAAAAAAATTGTGGAAAAATTTTCAAGAAACCCTAATAATAATACCACCTGTTTCATGTGGTGCTTTTTGGTCTTGTCAATCAATGTCTGTATAGTGCCTGAAAGTCTATGGCTAAAAGAATTTACAGAAGGGTGACATGTTACTAGGTTTGAATGTTAGAAACATAAAGTAAGGGTTTCTGGGGTTTTTTTTTTACTTGTATCATTCCATCAAAGACAGGTTTAAATGTCTTATATTTTGGTTGATCGCCTAATTAGGTGAGCCAATGAATTGAATTAATTCATCAAAACTAATTTGAAAAGATCTCTCCAGGCTGTAAGAGCTTGTGGTGTGCTTCTTATTTGTATTAGTTGCTTTAAGTCTGTGCATCATAGTTTTGTTATTATATTAACATTAGCCTTAATCTTGTTTAAATGTCATTGTGGTTTTTTCAGTTTCAGTCATGGTATTCTCATTATTTTTTATGCCAATGTGCAAGAATCAATCACTGATTAATGGGTTGGGGGGATATTTTTTGGGGGGGGGTAGGCTTTAGGTGAAACAATTTTTATAGAGTTAAATATGTATCACTTTTTTAAATGTTTCCTGGAGGACTATTACAACGAATGTTATGTTTTGGAAGCCCTTCTAGAGCCATTTAAATGTATTTATCCTATTATCTGGGTAAAATGAAATTAGGCATCATTTTTATATTCTGTGGGAAAAGAAACAAAGAAATGTATTTAAGCAATGCAATAAAGTTGGCCTTTTCATTGCAATTCAACTGATAGCGCAGTGCTTATTGCCACAGTCTGGTGCTAATATTTTTTATTTCCTTTTAAAGGACTCAACATTTTAAAAATTTGCTGACTTTCAGCACATTAAGTTATAAATTAGAACGTAAGACATTGACCTTTATTTAAGTACCTCTTGATGTCTGGAATACCAATTATGACTGAAACACAGGTATTGAAGGATAGGTCCTGTTCAGGAAAGACAGAAATAAATATAAAGATGGTAGAGTGGTATATTTATGATCTGAACGATTATGAAGAGATAAGAAAAATACAGATAGAGCGGAATTTGGGAGTCACGATCTCTTTGGGGAAGGATGCCAGCAAGAACTCTGTTGAGAAAGAGCCAAGAATTTGCTACATATCCAGATCAGATGTTGCTATGGATAGCGGCTCTGTCATGTCAGACAGATATGGGGAATTGTGTCATGGGAAATTTTCACTTCACAGAATTATGGACGATTCTGTTTGCGGAAGATGCATTGAAGCTAGAACAGGTGCAGAGAAGGGCCATTAGGCTATTAGGAAATGATGAGACTATCAAACCAAAGAGACTAAAGAGTTTGGCTGTGTGGCCTGGAAAAAAGGAGGTGAGAGGGGATATGATTGCTGTGTATAAATACATCAGCGGATAAACACCCGGGAGGGAAAAGACCAATTTAAGCTACCGGATGATGCCCGCAGAAGAACACGGGGTATAAGCCAGCCGCAAATAAAGTTAGGCTGAAAATTAGAGGAAGGTTCTTAACTATTAGAGAAGGAAGCTCTGTCAGTCTGAGCATTGGAGAAATAGGGTGGAGGACCTACCTGCCTCTAAGATGGAGCCCAAAAAGCTTATACAAGGGATTAAATGACATGTTTGCTTGTAAAACCAGACATCCCAGGAGGTCCTTTCCCAGATCTCTGCTTCTCTACCTAAAATACAAAAGTGAAAAGTACTACTCTGAGGTGTAGTGCTTGCCTAAGCATTTCTCTGATCTCCAAATACAAAGTGACATTTTAATGCAGCTCACAATCATCTTAGTTTTCCCTCCAGTCCCGCTGTTGCATCTGTCATTCTCTTCAAAGCCAAGTCAATGCTTGGGCTCCCTTAATAAAAAGTGTATTCCTCTAAGCAATGCTTTTGCTTCCTGTTGTCATTCCAGTAGAGCATATTTCCTCCTCACATGGATTGTGTGTGTCTGTGAGTTTATATGTATATAAAACCACATGCACATGTAAATATATTGCATACTGTACACATAAAAAAATCACATGGGTTGCAAGTGCCTAAAACCAATGTAATAATAGGGTTTAAACATTTAAGTATTTAATAAAAGATCCACCAGTTTGATCGGCATATTTTCACACGGTATGTGAAATAACTTTGTGTATGTGATTTAAAAAATGTATTCAGTTCAGTTTTAATAGTGGAGAGCTGTTTAATAATGACAGAGATGTTTTTCTCCTCCTCTTGGGATACAACAGAGGTAGGGAATGGAAATGCACATATTGTGGAATTTGGAGAAAGTCAAATTTTGTTGGGTGAAATAAAAGAGAATGACCAGAAGTGTGTAGTTGTCATCACACCCTAGAAGTTCAGGCTTTGCAGTCATTAAAGGCAAATCCATGCCACCTAGTGGTAACGACTTATCATTCAGCACACATCACCAGGCAATCTGAACGAGGAGGGCTAAAGTTTTTCCCTATATCTCACAAAATAGTGCATTAAGTGATGGAGAAGGCAATGGCTTATTATTCGTGGAATCCACAGATCTTTCTCAAATCAAACCTGGCAGCTTCACACGGCTTCTGCGAGCCCTAAATTTCACATGGATAAGTGTCATTCGCTCAAAGTAGGGCATCAAATGACATTTGCTTCTCTTTGTCTCATTAGAACGATTACAGGAAGTTATCTATGCAATGCAAGGACTTTGTTGTGGGTGTGCTGGATCTCTGCAGGGATACGGAAGAAGTCGAGGCTATTCTGAATGGAGATGTGAATATACAAGTCTGCTCTGAGCATCATCGCCCAAGCCTGAGCAGAATTAAGCTTGCCATTAAATATGAAGTCAAAAAGGTAAGATTTCCCTTTAGTTACTTTGTCAATACAGATCCATTTTCCAAGCCAGATCCTGCTTTCCTTGGAATCAGTGGTTGAACCCCACCCCGCGTGACCATGTTTAACCCCTGAAAGTGAACATTTCCATGGACTTACATGTATTTCTTGTACATTTTAATGGAAAAGTTTATTTGAAAACTGTTTATTATGGTGCTGATTTTAAAATGAAGAATGGAGGAACGTCCAGTCATTCAATAGACTTGTAATATTGTATAGTGCCCCTAGGGTAGGTCACCAGTATGGATACGGTAATTTTTGTACTGACTAAAAGTCATGACTGCTGCCAGTTTCTTGCCTCCATGAAATAAATTGTTTATGTACAGCTGAGGTGTTCAGAGGCAACATTTTTTTCTATTGATTTTTTTTTCTGTTGAATTTTCATTGAAATCAATATGTTCCTATGTAGCGCTTCTATTTTGGAAAATAGGCATCTTTTAACATGGGGGGAACACATTCCATCAGAAAACCTGAACCACTGCTAAGTTTGACACAAGGACCTACTTGTCTCATAGGCATATCTGAAAGCACATCACAGCTATGCAAACCTGAAGTTGCATGCACAAGACATCAGAGATGCATTCAGTGCTGCTCTCTCTGATTCTCTGATTCTTAGATAACAGACCAACTTGTTATTACCTTATTTACTCAACCCAAGACAAGGTTTCCCTTACTCTTCAGCAGTGTGTGTGTGTGTGTAAGGGGGGGAGATGAATTTAAGATGACCCCCCATTATTAGATTCTATACACCAAAATAATAACAGCGTTATATATTTTACATGTATGTATTCTAGGGGCAGGGGGGAATCTTCAATTCTGAGTCGTTTTGGATTTGTGTAAATATTGTAGTATCCTTGCCAGTTTGCACTAGAAAATGTTGTACACTTTTTCCAGAATTGTTGCTGCTATGGTCCCCATGTCATAAATTAACTTCACTTCCTAGTAAAAATGGAGCAGACACTTGGCGCACAGCTTTAAACCTTGGTAAGTCATCCTACTTCCTCCTCAGAAAGTGAAGAGACACTATCTACTAGTGGAAGTTGTGGCTATAGCACCTCCTGCAGGGTGCTGGCTTGGGGAGATGGTGGCCCGTCCATTCCTCCAGTACTGGTGCTCTCTGACTGTAAAGAACATCCCGAGAAGGCAAAAAGAGCGAGACGAACGGTTTCCACTTCAGAAGAACTTTCAAGACATTCTGCTTGGTGGAACCATGCTCTGGGAATGGGAATTTCGTCTGGCAAATACTGGGTCTGGGTGGTTCAGATTAATTACTCCTACAATGTGTTTTGATGGAAGTAGAGTTCCCGCAACTGGGCTGTAGGAGCCGTCCAAATTTTTCAGCTAACATCTGCTCTCTCCTTCCCCTTATGAACCCGCCACCTGCTTCTTTCTGCCTCTCGACATCACTGCTGTGTTGGCCAAAGAAAGTCTCTTCCTATTACAAACACCATCGATTAAACCGAATCTTTCATTCTCATAGCTAAAGCTTGTAGCTAGAAGCTCTCTGTTAAAATGAATTGCTTTCATAAGTGGTGTACAGCTAGTCTGTATTATCGAAATGCGTGCATGGGCAGATCTTGAAAGGCAGTAGCCCATATTCAGAGCCCATCCTGAGTGAAATCCACTTAAACCAGTTGCATCGTGTTCAGCCAGTTGAGCCAGTGCCAGCTCACTAACTACTGTGGGCTGTTGTAACAGGGGAAAGAATTTGCTCTTTTAGAAACCCAAATGCCCTCATGCTGCATCATCAAAGCATGATCGATAGCAGGTTTATATGGTGTTCACAAGAAGCTTGTGAGAACTGCAGACACTTTGCCGAATGCTCAAAGTCTCGCTTTCTTTCATTCTTTGTTTCTTCTCGTAAGTTCTGCAGTCATCCTTCTGGCACTGGGAGCTTCGAAACCACAGGCTTGTCTCAACCCAGCCGAACGGCTGTGTCAGTTATTGCATGGCTTTCAGCCTATGTTTTGCATCAGCTCTTTAGCTAGCTCATTTGAAAAGACACATCTCTAGTGACTGTGTTACTTCGGAAGGCATGAGCAACTGCTTCCTATTGACTCATCTCTTTTGCAGTGGCAGGCACATCCAAAAAAATGTGCTGTTTTGTGTCGCATGCAGCAAAGATCAAGTCCGTCATTTATCGTAACATAACAACATACATTCAGCAAAAGCGAGTTTCCTTTCAGATCAAGCTATTCTCTTGAACACGTTTAACGTCTACTAGACTAAGTACAGGTTGTGTAATGGCTGTCCTTAGTAAATCTGCTGTTGGGCCTTTCTCCAGCAGCTTGTAGAACATGCTTTTCAGAAGGCAATGCATATCTAAACAAAGTTGGGCATTTAAGAGATAATTGTAAACCATGATAGCTCCATGCCTGGGAGTCAGAGAGGTGTGGAGATAAATATAAATAGCCTTGGTTATTGGCAGTGACTTATGATAAGAGACTGATATTTCTCATACACTGGCTTGCTAAACAAATGAACAACTTGATATATAAATATTCTGTGATGGTACTACACGGGTAATGATTGCCCAAAGTGGAAACAGATACAGAGGTATGGATTTAAAGTATGTTTTAAGGGAGATGTGTGTGCACACACACTCATGGAGAGATTGTTAAATTATGTCAATTCAGAGTAATGCCCTCAAACTCAACGTATTTAGATTGATGTCAGTTAGGGCAGGATCCAGCCCCCCCAAATATTTAAGGGCAGCTTCAAGAAGGAGCACTTGATGACCTCCTCACCCAGAACACCAAAATCTTTAGCCTTACCAGTGGGGCAAGCTTGCCAACTGGCTGATTTATCCCTGAGTTGTTCTTGCCCCAGTCAAATTCCAAGGGCCAGTGTCATCTGAGTTATAGGATAGTTGGATCTTACCTAGGCTGCTGCAGTAGAACCAGAAATCATCAGCTTTTGACTATGGTCTGGTCGTGAAATGCCCACATGTATACTTGACCAAAGGGGAATCCCTGTTGTCAAGGTGCATAATGATATTTCAGCAGTATTAGTCTGGCTGAATGGCACTACCATTGGCAAACTCATTATTCATACTCCTACCCAGCAGCTACTCAGGCATGCTGTTTGCTACTACAAAATTGTGTCTCCCAACTCCCACAGAGCCTTCTGTTTCCAATATCCTGGGCCAAAGTCTGCACTGGTTTATACCCTATGCAATCTCATAGGGTATAAACCTTCATTGTTGCCTTTTTATTCTCCGATAAAATACTGCAAAGGAACCTGGCATTTATGACACAAAAAAATACAGGATAGGTCAGATCCTGCTAAATATTCATGTTGTCATGTGACTTTCCTAGAGTTACATTTATTTATACAGTTGATGATCTGCCCTGTTCAAATTAGCACCCTGAAATGTGTGCTGATGGTTTTGCATTCTCCAGCTCGCCTGGCTATATGCATTAGTGAGAAATAAATATATTTTTACCTGGGTCCACATAGATAAGGAAAGAGCCTGAATGATTTCATATTCTGCATTTTCAGTGGATAAGGATCTTTGCTACTGAAACACTCCCTTAGGGACCTAATTATGGAATGGCACAATGCAACCTAATACAAAATATTACAATTTCTTTCTTTTTTCACTGAGTCAGAGTTTCCACAGTAAATACTTGGGGATTCAGAGTTTTAATAAATATTTGATATTTAATCTTATTCAACCATTACATTTCTCAATTACCATGTTTTTATTAGCCATGCTCCTGCCTAAAGTAGATTTTTCTTGCTGAAAATTCTCATTTATAGATTTTTTTTCAGTATAAAATTCTCATGTTTATGGGCAATCTTAATTTAGTGCTTGTTGCTATATTTTTTCCAGACACTGCTTTAGCTTATGTTTTACCACCTCATCCTTTCTGTAGTCTGGAAAATACCAACTGTTCCTATAATAAAGCAGAATAGTAGGCCTGCTTCCAGGACTTCACTTCACATTTAGGGTGTAGACAGATATAACACTTAAAATGTTCTAAATAAACCTTTAAATCCCAAAGGCCTCGACATCAGTGCCAGTTAAGATCAGCTTAAGCTTCCTGGAATGCTTCAAAACTACCCCAGAAAAATCAAGTACTATTTTGAACCAGTCCCCCCCAACAGTTCTTTGGAAACTCCAGGATCGGGAAGGTTTGATGGTCTGGATACTCTGCCACCCACTGGTGGCATTTTGGCAGCAGTGTCATCCTTAGAAGGTGACTTTTCTACTTAGAACCGTTAGCAGTATGTATGCGAACATTTCTGTTCAGGGACAAATGGGAACCAGGTCCCAATCAGTGATATCCTTGGAGCAGGTTAAGTTTGAAATCTGTCCATGACCTTAGAAAAACTTCTTTAATCCACCTCTTTTTGTTCTTTCCTACTTATTTATTCCTGTTATTTCACAGCTCCTCTTGCAATACAGCCCCCAACTCGGCAAAAAAGAGCTGTTGAAAAGGTTTTTCTCTTTAATCATTACAGCTAAACAATCAGTCCTTCCCATCATAAAGACTTCAGGAAGAATGCAGAAGATAGAGATGCTATTATCTTGAAATGGAGGATGACATACAATATTTTACTCTGTAAGCAGCCCTAAAACAGCCAGGAACCATAAAAGGAGCTGCCAAATCAAGCTGTTTTCTTTGAGATTTCCAGATTTTAAAACAGCTTAGTTATCTTATCTTCCTTCCTCAGGATATGTATAGGGAACTATTTAATCCTACACACAGTTTAAAAGCTCATGGACCTGATGTGGTATCTTTGCAACCCTAAATTCTCCTTCAGGTTGTGTTTCTTAAGAAGCCATAGTCATGAATAGGGCTAGCCAGACTTCTGGTATGTCAGTTTTCTGTGACCATTTTGGGAACATAAAGCCTTCGATGAGAGTCTTCTCCATTAACTTTAGTGGGCTTCAGTTCAGATCCTCAGTCAATCTTTGTTTTTTCTGCTCAGTCCTTTGCCATGGGAAACTCCAT